AATAAATATAATAACAATAATAATAATAATAACAATAATAATAATAATAATAATAAACAACAATAATAATAATAATAATAATAACAATAATAATAATAATAATAATAATAATAATAATAATAATACCAACAACAATAACAACAACAACAACAACAATAATAATAATAACAGCAACAATAATAATAACAACAATAATAATAACAATGATAATAATAATAATAATAATAATAATAATAAAATCTCTTCTGTTTACTTGCTTGAGTCTTCCAATGTGTGGCATGATAGACTAGGAATTTTTAATTTGAATTCTATACGTAGATTAATTAACATGGAACACATTTCTAAATTCACAATTGATGAGAAGCACAAATGTGAAGTTTGTGTAGAGGCAAAACTAACGAAAACATCTTTCAAATCGGTTGAAAGAAAAACGAAACCACTTGAATTAATTCATAGTGACGTTTGTGATTTTAAATGAATACAAACACGTGGCGGTAATAAATATTTTATTACTTTTATCGATGATAGCTCTCGTTATAGCTATGTTTATTTATTAAAAAAATAAACACGAAGCAATCGATAAATTGATTCTTTATACGAATGAAGTACGTGGAAAACCAACTTAGTCGACAGATTAAAAAGGTTAGAAGTGATCGAGGTGATGAGTATGAAGCACCAATTGGTGACTTTTGCGCGAGCGTGGGTATAATGCATGAACGTACCGCATCCTATTCACCTCAATCCAACGGTGTTGACGAACGAAAGAATCGCACATAATGATGGAAATGAAGTCATTCCAAACAGTTGTGAGATCTAAAGAGTTTATGATGGAGGTGATTGAATATATTGTCTCCAAAAAGAGCCATTAAACTTTCATATGATTAGAACTAGGGGCAAGCATATTGGTTTTCATTTCGGTTTTTATCAATTTTGGTTCGATTCAATTTGGAACAAGTTAGAAGAATTCTTATTAAACAAAAACCATATTATTCTCCGGGTTGGTTCGATTTATTTAATTTGGTTAGATTTGGGTTTGTTAATTTTAATAAGGAAATTACCCCAAATAAAACTAAAAACATTTGAATATTCCAAAATAGGAATATCATATTTTTGTTCCCAAAATAGGACTAATTACTGCCATGTTTTGGTAGTACCAGACTTTAGACATGTCAGTATTTTCCACTTGGCTGTAATTACTCATATTTTGTGAATAAAAACATGACAGTTATATTTTGAAATTTCGAACATGTTTACTCTTATCTCGAGAACTTTCCCTTTTTATTTCATTTTTATAGGGTGTAGAAAAACATGTAGTACTAAATTACTATTCCGATTTTCTCCGTTTAAATTACATGTAGCGTTTTTACTAGTTGGAGAACTAAGGGGGGTGTCACCAATCCAGATTCTGGAGGATTTTAATGGAGTTTAGAATTCCGTTAGAATTTAGGTGTCCCCGATTTGGATTTCTGTGGAATCAATAAAAATAAGGGTGTCCTCAAACATTTCGTGGATTTCTGTTGTTACTTATTTGCACGGATTATAATCGAATTCGATGGATTTCTATATACAAAAACGATCCACCACAAAACCAAGCATTCTAGCCTAACTGGTTGTGAGGTTATCGTGCCTAGTGGGAGGTGTCGAGTTCGAAACCGCTAGGCACACAAGAGTTTGAAACTCAATGAAGTGAGTTCAGCCCCGATTACTCCCACCCCTCCCCAAGACTCCCCTCTAATATCAAAGGGAAAATGGTCAAATAGGTCCTTGAACTTAGATAAAAAGGTCAAATAAGGCCTTATATAGAAGGCTCTGTCCGGCTATCGTCATTTAAGGAGGTTTCCTATGATTTTTTTTATGAATTTTTTTGACCATCCTATTAATTAAGTCTAGTTCACTCATACCAAATTTCAGCTATAAATTCAATCTGGAAGGCATTCAAATTAATCCTTGAAAATAAGTGCGCAATTATCTTCAAGAATTAATTCACATGCCTTCGTGATTGAAGTTTAGCTGAAATTTGGTATGAGTAAACTAGACTTAATGAATAAGATGTTCAAAAAATTTCATCAAACAATTCTATCGCGAGCCACCCCAAATGAAGACGGTCAGACATAGCCTCCTATATAAGGCCTTATTTACCCTTTTTATGTAAGTTGGAAGACATTAGGTCACCTTCTCTCTTATATGTAAGAGTTTTAGGTACAAGAAGATAACAATGCTAATAATTGAGCGGAAAAATTTTCTCTTTCATATGTACTAGGTTTCAAGCCCGTGCGATGCACAAGCGGTATATAATGTGACGCAAAAGCAAAATAAACTCAGTCTAAATATATAGTTCGTTTGATAATACTAATATTGGTGATATCAGTTTATTTTGCTGAAATTAATTAAATTCTAGCTGAATAGGTGAATATCCGGAATCATGAAAAAAAATATTCCATTTGTTAAATAAATAAAAATTATATGAAAAATAGTATAAATGGTCTTCTACATAAGCTTCTCTACTAAGCACAATTGTTATGAACCCGATTTTAAAGAATTCATAGAGAAGCTTCTTAATTATTTTCATGTCCTCTAAATTACTTTATTATGCGCCTCAATGTTTTTTTTAATATTCCTCATTCAACTTGGTATGAAATATGGAGTACATACTTTTAATAGCAAGATTTTACATTTTACTTATTATTTCATCACCTTGAAATAATAAGTAATATGATCTGGTAGATTTTTGTTTTACATTTTATGTGTCCAATTATTATTAAAGTTTGATCTGATCTGATTTAGTCTGAGACTGAAATCAATCTAATTAAAAACATCTTAAGAGTAAACAAAATTAGGAATTTGTAAACATATAAAGATTTTCTAATTTAGATTAGGAATCGATCTATTTCAAAAGTGACGGGATCTAGAGTCATTTGTTTCCATATCAATATGCAATAAAAAATAGAATCCAATAAAAATAAAAAGTACGGAGTATAAAAATAACTAAATAATTGTTATATATGATGGATGACATGGTAGGATTATGTGGCACTTTGTATGCTCTTAAAAAGTTCCTCTTATATATATATATATATATATATATATATATATATATATATATATATATATATATATATATATATATATATATATATATATATATATTGATTACTCTTAGATATTAGAAGATAAGTTGCTAACAGTTGAGCGAGGGAATGGAGCGGGAGAATTTATCTCTCATATGTAGTGTTTTTAGGTATAAACTAGTCCGACTAACAATTGATCGAGTGGGACAATTTTCTGTCATATGTAGTTCTTTTAGGCATAAGAGAAACTGGTTGAAAATTTAGCAGAATAATTTTCTCTCTCTCATATGTTAGTTCTAATTTAACCGATGAGTACCAACTTCTTTTTCAACTAATAATATTCATCAATTTTAATAATTATTCAACTCACTTAAACTTTATGTCACCCACCTATTGTTCTCACTTTTTCAGAATAATATTTAATTTTAAATTTAATTTAATCATGAAAATTTATAAGTAGTAAATTCTAATGAATGGTGTCAATTGATTTTTCCTAATATACTCTCATTGGATATGTATTTAATGGGCTTATACTTTATGGTATTAGCTTATTGTACTCTTATTTTTCAAAAATGTTGAATTCTACAAAGTATTTTTATTTTAATATTTAATTAAATCGTGAGTAAAAATATATGCACCAAATGTTCTTTCTCGTGCGTATGCACGGGTACTATACTAGTTGTATATAGAAATCCATTAAAATCCGAGCAAATAAGTAACAACAAAAATCCATGGAATGTTTGAAGACACCTTTATTTTCGTGGAGTCCATAGAAATTCAAACCAGGGACACCTAAATTCTGAAGGAATTCTAAACTCCATTAAAATCCTGCGAAATCCAAATTAGGTACACCCCTTTGCTCCCTAAGGTCTCGCAGTTTATACCCTGCAACCGACGCACCATGAGGATGGTGCGCCCGGTTGCAAAACGACGCAATTTATACATATTTTTTATTTCTTTTATTGTTAGAAATTGTAATAACTTTTTTATTTGATATCCGATTTTTATAAATTTTATATCAATTTTATTTTTATTTTTCATGATCTATCAAATGAGACCAATATTTCTTATGTAATTTTAACAAATTACTTTGAAGTTACATTTGATAATATATAATGAAGTTACATCTTCTTCTGCGCGAGTTACATCTTATTGTACGCGAGTTACATCTTAATATACACAAGTTACATCTTAATGTATGTGAGTTACACCACGAAATAAACCCCTACTACACCTTTCATTTTTATCATTTGAAAAATAGTGTATGAATATGAAATACAATATACTTATTTTATGTGGATTAATAAAATTTTGTATTAAATTGGCAAAAAAAAAAATTAATTCAGTTATAATTGAATTAGTTCAAGATAAAGTAAAAAATCACAAATAATTAGATATAACTCACACATAATTACATGTAACTCACGCATAAAAGTATGTAACTCGTGTATAACAAGATGTAACTCACACATAACAAGATGTAACTCACACATAATTGCATGTAACTCGCGCATAAAAGTATGTAACTCGTGTATACCAAGATGTAACTCACACATAACAAGATGTAACTCACACATAATAACTCGTAACTGGAATATAAGATGATGTAACTTCGTATATTATCAAATGTAACTCCAAGCTAGAAGCAAAATAAACAAACTCAATATCTTAAAACCTATAAAAACATATAAAAGTGATAAAAAAATATATTATAGAAAAAATGTATGCATATAAAAACATACGAAGTATTACAAAAAAATGTATGAATGTAAAAAATTAAAATAAATTTTTGATATAAATTTTATAGAATCAGATAAAAAATAATTTTTTTTAACAATTTTAAAAGAAGGAGAAATAAAAAATTACAACATGGTGCTCTCACCAACTCTATTCATGTTCTGTATATGGATGCTGCTACCGTATTTGTAAGTGTAGAAACCTAACAAATACCCCTAAAGTACTCTTCCCTCCAAATTCCAATTTTTGCCGACTGCAAAAGGGAAGAAAACACAGTCACCTGGAAAGCTTCAAAGGTTGAATTAATGGGGAAAGACGACGAGGAGATGAAGAGGGAGATAGAGGAGAGGTTAATGAATGAGGAGTACAAGATATGGAAGAAGAACACCCCCTTTTTATATGATATGGTCATCACCCACGCCCTAGAGTGGCCTTCTCTCACCGTTGAATGGCTCCCCCATAGGGAGGAGCCACCCGGCGAAGATTATTCCGTTCAAAAAATGATTCTTGGGACACACACCTCCGAAGATGAGCCCAATTATCTTATGCTCGCTCAGATTCAGCTCCCACTAGAGGATGCCGAAATTGATGATCATCATTGCGATGATCGGCAGGATGTAGGCGCATTTATGCCTTCCAATGGGACGGTATGGAATCACCTCTTGCTAGATCTTTAGTTCCGATTTTTAATTTTTGTCACTCATATGTAGATTCCATTTGGTTTAACCTTCTGAGGAGGTTTAATGGGACAAGGATGTCTGTTTTTCTCCCACCTTAGATTTGTGTGGCTCTATTTCTAGATTAGGACTGAAGCATGTAAACTTAGCACAATACCTGGTTATACTTTTAATTTCTTATGGCCTTGTTCTCTTGGCTATTTTTATCAGCATATTGGTTTAGCTGTTTCAGCCAGCTGTTTGTGTTAAATGATTGTCTGAAAATGTTTCGAAAATTGGATTACTTCCTAAATTAGCCTTTTGGGAAGGAGTTAGAGGGCCTCCTTGCCTCATAAATTTTTGGCCTTATAAATTTAAGAAGATAGAGGGTCTCCTTGCCTCATAAACCAGCTTTTGGGACAAAAAAGCTAAGCAAAATAGTTGTTTGCATAACATCATTTCTGGCTGTTGGATGACTCGGATCAAATCGATAAGTCAAAGCAGGTCAAACAATCTATTTTGGCTGATCAACCAATTACCAAACATCGCCATATGTCTGTAGAAGTGGTACCCTGCATTAAAACAAAGAAAAAAGAAGTGGTATCCTGCATACAAGTTTTAAATATATGTACTCAACAGAAACCTTTTCAACTCAGATCAAGTGAATTCAGTGAGGAATTCAATTTTTTCTCACTAATTCGTACATTGGCTATTTTATTTCTTATTTATACATTTGTAGCCAAGTAGCCAACAGTGTAATAGGTAAAATTGTCAGAAGCAAAGAATAAATATTAGCGGGATCGAAGAAAAGGACTGGGATCAAAGAAAAGGATTGCCAAGGGGCTTCACCTTGTTCTTTTTAGCAACAACAACATCTAAGCCTTATTCCCAAAAGATTTTAGGGTCGGCTAACATGAATCATTCCATGATATGAGCCAAAAAGAAAAGAAAAATAAGAAAAATAAAAAGATAATGCAAGATAAACATAACATAAGAACATAAGAAAGATAAAGAAGATATAAAGATAAAAGAAAAGAGAAAGAGAAAAGAGAAAAAAGAGATCAACCGTCCACACAAATACATGCCCTCCACTTTGTTCTGTTTAGTAAAAAGGAAAAATGCCATCTTAGATGGGCTGCCGAACCAAGTTGCCTGTGTGCCAATTTGAGTTGTAGTTGTGATCGTTGCAGCCTGATTCAAATAAGATATGGAGTAGAAATTGAGAACTACCACACTCCATGTTGAATTATTCTCATATTTCCTTTTTGGATCATCGAGTTCGTTCATATATAGATTTTCAACAAGTTGCAAAACTTCTAGTTGCTCAAATGCTTATGATATGGGGGTTCATTCTTCGTATGAGTATAGTCATTAATCATAATGTCATAATGCTGCTTTCAAGGCTCCCATCATCCATCACTCCATAGTAAAAAAAGGCCCTGTTCATTAGAAATAATTGGCTCATTCATCTTATCAATTGAATTATCAGAATTCAGAATCAGTAGAATGTGAAGCCTTTGCATGCTTATTTGGCTGAAAATGGGTTTACCAAACCTTTTTTTTATTTTAGAAAGTTCGGTAGATATATAGCCATTTTAGCCCAATAATCTTTTAGGGTTAAGGCTTGAATGTTGTTGTATTTGAACCTTTACCAGACAGGCTCTAAGTGTCACTTTTGCAGGTAAAAGTAATTCAGCAAATAAATCATGATGGAGAAGTTAACCGAGCCCGCTACATGCCTCAAAACCCATTTATCATTTCCACCAAGACAGTCAGTGCTGAAGTATATATTTTTGATTATCGCAAACATCCAGTGGAACCACCCGTTGATGGTGTATGCAACCCTGATGTGAGGCTAAAAGGTCACAACAGTGAAGGATACGGTCTGTCTTGGAGTCATTTCAAGCAAGGTCATTTATTAAGTGGCTCAGATGATGCCCAAATTTGTTTGTGGGATATTAGTGTCACTCCCAAGAATAAGACCCTTGATGCCATGCAGATTTTTAAGGTATATAGCTGTATTGAACCACATAAATGTACTGAATTATAACATGAATTATAATTTTAGAAGTCTTGTTTTCTTTATTTCTGATCGGGCTCTACTTTTTAAACAGAAAAAAAGGAAGAAAAGAGTTATGTTTGAGTAAGGTACAAACTGTTGGTTTTATACAACTTAATCAAGGTACAAGCTTTTACAAGTTATGAATGGTTACTTTACAGTTATACCCCACAGCTTATTTCCAAGATTGTTGGTGTAATTGACGAAAACCACTTGTCATTTGGCTTTACATGAACTGTACCTGAAAATTGAAGCTGACTTTTAAAACCATTCTTTTCATTCAGACCAAAATATTTTTTGAGACCATTCTTTTTTCGGGACAGAGGATGTATAAGGATTTAGTTATTATTTGCAAAGTAGTTTTCTCTTTAATCAGAACACTGAATCAACATTTATAGTAATAGGGGAGTGAGTGCAAAATATGATTATCCCTCGTTGGTGTTCAAGACCGATATTAAAGCCATTAGAACATTCATGTAATATCATTTCATATCTTCTGATCAGTGAATTTCTTTTTATGATGCAATAGGTTCATGAAGGGGTTGTAGAAGACGTAGCTTGGCATTGGAGGCATGAATATTTATTTGGTTCAGTTGGAGATGATCAGTATCTACATATATGGGATTTGCGCACACCTTCAGTAACCAAGCCCATTCATTCTGTAATTGCCCATAATGGAAATGTCAGTAAGCTCAGCATTAAACTAACTATATGGCTCTTGTCTCTTACGTATTATGTGCGCATAATTGTTCCACTGAGTTATTTATGATGTAGTACTTTGATACTCCTATATGGCATTGCCTTGATATCCATTGAGTTCATTTTTTAAGAGGCAGTAGTAAATTCAAACTATTTGGTGGAAATTGTTCATATTGCTTTTCTTTGATCTTATATATGAATTATATGATCCCTTTCAACATTCCCAATCCCTATTTATGCCACATTGGGCTAGAAATCCTCATTGTTCTGTGGTTCAGATGATTATTCCACAAAAGTGGGGCATCCTTCTGCTTCTGTCGGTCTGTGTTTATATGGAAAATTCTAATAGTATACATCATCTAGACTAATTGCCTACCAGAAAAAGAAATGTTATATTTCTTCTTCTTTAAACCCATGAGCATTCTGCTTTGTGACAATTAATTGTGGAATGAGCCAGTACTATTTATGCTTTCACTGCAAAGTTTACTACAAAATGAAATTACAGTCGCAATTACGATATGTATGTTTTTATCTATGTATATTTTTCATTTGTGCCAGGTTAACTGCTTAACATTCAATCCTTTTAATGAATGGGTAGTAGCAACTGGATCAACTGATAAGACAGTCAAATTATTTGACTTACGCAAGATCTCATCTCCTCTCCATACTCTTGGATGCCATACGTAAGGAGGCATTTGTTTTTGTATGTTAGGGAAACTTGTTGCCCTTATCTATCAAGCTAGTGTCCACTTCCCTCTTCCCTCTTTGAAATTTTCATTGATCAATTATGGAATCAGTTTATTAATGGCTTTGTACACCTCATGACAGGGAGGATGTTATTCAGGTAGGGTGGAATCCTAAGAATGAGACCGTCTTAGCTTCTTGTTGTCTTGATAGAAGAGTTATGGTTTGGGATCTTAGCAGGTATCTTCTACAATACCAGATAGCAGAGGGTGCATTATCATTTTGACTAATGAAGTAATGAAGGATTTATTGTATTTATCGTGTCGTTTCTTATAAATTGTTACCCATATCATTCTTGATTTAGGACCGCAAATGCGCAATTGGTTTTACTCGAACTGATTTCACTTTGGGTCTGTTTGGAGCTCAGAGAAATAATATGAGGAAAGTACATGAGAAATTTGAAAGGAAAGAAAATGTAGGACAGTAGGAGCGAGAAAGTTTAAACTTGATAATTTAATTTCTGACGTTCGTTCATCTTTTTTGCTTTGGGAGATTTCCCAAAATAGGAGTACTATGTTTTCTCTCTATATAAGAGTAGAGTACGGCCATATTGTCATCATACTGCTGCCATATTATGACTTGATCATGCATTAATATGGCAACATTAATGCCATAATAAGACAGTATGGTTTAGTCTTATTTAGGAAAAACTTACTGCGTATCACAGAGTACTATTTAGGGAAACCACCTCATTTCTATTCCGTTTTAGGGCAATTTCTTTTTTGTTTATATATTTCTAATACAGAGAGTAAGAAATCTAGATACATGTAAAAAGTTAAAAGTTTTAATCAAATTTGATTTATCTATGTTAGCTTCCAAGGTGAAGCTAAACATTTAAAGATCCATTTTCCTTTTTAGTTTCCTTTACCTAATATTTTCCATGTTCCAAACATAGCATTAGTGTCTTTTTTATTGATTGCAACTACTACGCGCACCCAAATGTTTCTATCATGGATGTTTAACTTTGAATTACAAATGCAGATGGCAGTGTGCCTGTGAACTATAGTATTCATTGTTTGCTTTGTTTATCCAAAAGTTGCTAGATTAAGAAAGACAAAACAGCTTTACGTGAGAATGACAAAAGCATTCGACTTATATAAAAAAGACAATTGGTTTCATGAGTGTACATATTCTTCATTTTCTGCCAAAATATGTTTAACACTGCAACTGTGTGAGGATATATGCAATTATGCATGTGCTCCTTCTCGTATAGCAGAATCAGATTTTGGCATATTATCAGGCATTCAGGCTTGTGCAATAGATTTCGTATCACACACTTTTATTTATCTTTTTAGTGCATTAACTGAATCGAATTGTAATATTGTAGTAATATATAAAAAAGTAGTCCTCATGTTACTTAGCAAACATCTCACAAATGACTTTAATCGTAAGTAACTTTTCAAGGAGATTAAAAAAACACTTTCTCAAGTAGCCTCTGAAAATATCTAAAAGAATTTACTTTCTAAATTCCTTTCTCAAATAGCCATATAGATCTAAAAAAAACTAATTATTTATGTAAAAACTTTCTGAAGAGATCTCAAATATACAACAACAACATCCAAGCCTTAATCCCAAAAGAATTTGGGGTTGGCTAACATGAATCGATCAATGATATCGATGCCAAACAGAGAAGATGGACAAGAAAGGGAAGAAAAAAAAGATAAAACGAATAAAATAAAGATAAATAAATACTCCCTCCGTTCTCTAATAGATGGGAGTATAGCCGTTGGCACAAGATTTAAGAAGGAATTAATAGGGGTAGGATAAAAGGTGTAGTGGGTTGTGTGTAAAGGTAAAAGTAGGAAAGAGAATGAAAAAGTAGGAAAGAGAATGAGGGTAAATGAGTATATTTATTGAAAAAACTTACCAAAAATGGAAAGGGAGACAACTAATGGAGAACATCCCAAAATGGAAAGAGGGTCAAGTATTAGAGAATGGAGGGAGTATAAGATAACAATAACACAGAAATATAAGAAAAATAAAAGATAAAAAAAGCATAAAAAAACTAGAATATAAAAATAACATAAGAATATACAAAGATAGAGAAGATAAACGATAAAAGAAAAAGAGAGGAAAGGTAGAAAAGACATCAGTCGCCCACACGGATGTGCGCCCTCCACTTTGTTCTCTCCAAAGCTGTACTCTCATCCAACCGAAGAAGACGCATATCAGTTTTGATTCCTCTAACCCAAGTCTGTTTGGGTCTTCCCCTCCCTCTATTCTCTGCCTCTTCTTCCTATCCCTCAAGTCGTCTAACAGGTGCATCACTCGGCCTTCTACACACATGCCCAAACCACTGCAAACGAGACTCCTGCATCTTATCTTCTATAGGTGCTACTCCCGCCTTTTGTTTGATTATCTCATTCCTCAAACGGTCTTTTCTGGTATGTCCACACATCCAACACAACATACGCATCTCTGCCACACTCATCTTTTGAATGTGACATTGCTTCACTGCCCAACTCCATGCCATACATTAATGCAGGCCTAATTGCTGTTCAATAAAATTTACCCTTTAGTCTACTCGACATACCTCGATCACATAGAAATCCTGATCACTCTTCCATTTCATCCACCCAACTCTGATTCTATGGCATACATCTCCATCTAATTCACCATCCTTTTGAATTATGGAACCTAAGTAACAGAACATATCACACACCAGTATCTCCTTACCATCAAGAGTAATCCCACTGTTGTCACTACTTCTACCTCCACCAAACTTGCACTCCATGTACTCAGTCTTGCTTCGGCTCAGCCTGAAACCCTTGATCTCCAATGTTTGTCGTCATACTTCCAACTTTGCTTTAACACCGGATTGTGTCTCATCAATCAATAAATTATCGTCGACAAACATCATGCACCACGGTATATCTTCTTGAATTGACTTCGTAATTTCATCCATGAAGAGATCTCAAATACTCCCTCCGGTTCTAAATAAACTTCACACTTTCCATTTTGGGTAGGTCCAAAATAAACTTCACACTTCTTCTCCCTTCCTTATTTGACAAATTATCTACATCAAAACATTGCAAAACAGTGCAAAACAGTGCCAAAGTGTCAAACAGTGCCAAACAGTGTCACAACAGTGTACTCTACAGTAAAGTCAAATTTATTTCCTTAATTTGTATGAAGTCAAAGTGTGAAGTTTATTTAGGACCGGAGGGAGTATAATTTTTAAAACTAATTTATGAAAAAGCTTTCTAGAGAGCCCTCATGTTACTTATTACTTCCTCTGTCCCTTAAAATTCTTCTCACTTTCCTGTTTGGGACGTCCCAAAAAAATTCCCATTACCCTTTTTGGAAAGTTTTGTGTGGCTAATATTCATTTACCTTTTTCTTACTCAACCACAACCATACATTTCCACTTTATTCCCAATTTCTTTAACTCCGATCCAAGTCAAACCGGGAAGAATCTTATGGGACGGAGGGAGTATTTGTTAATAAAGATAAATGATCCGTCTAGTCGTCCACTAACTTCATTTTCTTAGATATTATTTCATCTGGTTATTAAAAATAGTTATTAATGGTATTCTTTTTAGATAATTCAGCTCATTTAGCAATTCCAGATACAGCTTAAGCAAATCTAACCACTTCAGCCTAGTTTTAGTCAACCAAAATACCAAAGAGGCTCATTAATCTTGAACCTCTAAATTTCTGCCCCTATACTATCAGCCTGTTGTCCCTATCCAAGAAAAACTTTCAAAAGCCAGCTAAATTCATATAAATGTTTCCCTGAGCAGGATTGGTGAGCAACAAACGAAAGAAGAAGCAGAAGATGGGCCACCCGAGTTGCTTTTTGTTCATGGAGGCCATACAAGTAAAATTTCTGACTTCTCATGGAATCCGTGTGAAGATTGGGTCATTGCCAGTGTAGCTGAGGATAATATTCTACAAATCTGGAAAATGGCTGACCATATATACCATGAAGCCGATGATCTACCAGGAGATGCTGCCATCTAGTATCCTACATTTATATTAAGGTTTTGTATTTCCCAGCTATCATTGCGTTATACAGAGTACATAGTATGGAGTATAAGTTATGCATATTTTTTATGTAAAAAACTGAAGTTTTGGAGTTATTTGCATGTTTTGAGGATAACATAACATAATCTTGTCAACCCTTAATGTTGTAAAAGAAACGCTTTAAGGACATGCATCCCTTAAAAATTGGAGACCACTAACATGACAAAAATTCTTTCCTTAAAAGGATAAGCCACGGACACGAGAATATATTAATAAATACTACGTATTAAAAATATAAGAACTGATTTGCAAATACTAAAGTATGAAGGCTGAAATTATTTTTGAAGACCAAGTATTTTATACAATTTAATATTAGCTTGAATAGTGTTAAAATAATCAATGCTTTCTATTTAATGAATATGAAAATTAAAAATACATTTGCAATGACTTGTTTACATGTGCCTGTTGTGCTGATAACCTTTTTTTTGGTCTCTCATCTAGAAAATGTGCTGGCAGTGGAAGAATCAACATGGATGGTTCAATGTAGGGTTGTAGGTGGTGGATAGGATAGTTGTGCATACACCAGAGTTAGCTTGGCTGCCAATGATAGGGATTAGGGAGAAACATAGTTTGTTGTAACATTGGTGTTGATAAATTGAACCAGCAGTTTGAGATCAATGAACTACAAATTTAAAGTGACTGAAGACTTGAATAAACTATTTGTAATAAGTCCTTCACATGTTGTGTCTTGTATTTTATTTTCTTGGACACGTTTGTCCAGCATTTACAATTTATGACAGTCTTAAAACATATCATGCATGTTTTTTTATGTTCATTGTGTCCGACACGGGCACGACACGTGAAACAGTTTACTGGACACAGTTGTTCTCTTCACCCAAAATAATATGTCTAGATCTGTTCAGGCCTAGGCTTGAACTGGAACTGGTGCCTGTTTTAATAGTTCAAATTCGGAACTGTGATCTAAAGTTAGTTCAACACTCCAACCAGGTACAACTCTAAACACTAATTAACACCCAATGCTATCACAGGCTTAAACGGTCATAGATTTCGGACTTAGCATTATGCCATATCTTCCAATTTCCATGTTCCAAACATAGCATTAGTGTTCCTTCATTATTAGCATGAACGTTTATGAACTAATTTAATTTACTCCCAGTGTTTCATGTTTGGTCTGAATTCGGGTGTACCAAAAGGATAACCACAATTTTGTCTCGACTAGCTCGAATGTTATGGTCCATCTAATTTGGTTTGGTTAAGGTAATCATAAGTAGGGAGTAACAAACAACAAATCAAGAGCTAGCACACCTAAACTTGCCAACTGTTATGCTGTAAGATTGATAAATTTATTTGACTCACCTATTCGGCTGAAATTAATGTTACAAGAATGCATTTTTCTTATGAGAACTTAGAAGATTCATAGCTTTAGCAAAATAATTCTTACCAAAAGGATCTCATACTCGTGTCTATTTTTTATGTGTAAATTAAAAGAGCTTTTTAAGTGTTTTAAATAAAGAATAGATTTGGTAACCTCTACTTTTTGCTAAACATTTTTTTTTTAATTTTTATAATGAAGCATATAACTTTTGATTTTATGGTCCAATTCAGCTGGTCGTGATTTACTCTCTTATGGAAGGTCCCAGATTCAATACTCAATGGAGTGAGTTTGATCCCAATTTACCTCAGGCCCCCTCCCGCGACCCCAAATGGGGAAAAAAATAATTTCATGCGCTGAATTGTGTAGTGGCCAAAATAAGTAAAATTGATGCTACTTTTTTTGGCTGAATTGGTTGAAGTTATTATGAAAGATCGTTTTAGTTTAGCTATTTTTCACATATTTTTTTCTTTATTTAACTAATGGGATTTGTTTTTGCATAATTTAGCCAATTGAGTTGCTTCAATAAGAATTTCATCATTTCTAGCAGATTCAATAAATCCAGTCAATTTCAATGCTACAAAACAGACTCAAAAAACTCAAGAGTATGTTTATGGAGTGCTTCTTTTGCTTCTACTTGATTTAGTTTAGAGATTATATGTAAAGCAAACAATAACAAAAGTTAATAATGTTTGAAAAGAAAAAAGTTAATAATATTTGAAATAAAAAATGATTTTGAAAAAGTAAAGTTAGAATGTCATGTAAAAATATTATTTCATGTGAAATTGTTGAAATGGAAGTAGTTTAAAGCACATACTCCATTGCTTTCAGCTTCAAAATTTGTAATCTATGCATAATGTATATTTGAAAACACTAATTTTAGGATTTTAAAGCTAAAAGCATAAAATTATTTTTTAGGCAAATGCAATTACGGAGTATTATTTTAGTGTCGTTGTTTTGTTTTCCCTTCTTCCCTACCTATAACCTATATATTCAAATATTAGTAGAGCAAAAGTTGTCTATTGTGATTTTTTAACTTTTAAATTTGGCATGTTTATGTGCGGAGGTTTGGCTAAAATGTCAACCAAAACATGAACATAAGGAAAAAATGTAGGAGAATAGAAAATATACATGTTCGAGAAGTCCAATAAATTGAAAAAATACCAGAAAATAAAAGAAAATGGTTATTAGGAAAACAAGCTATTGTGGATTCATGCTTACGTGCATTGTATCACACATTATTTCAACATTAACATTGAAGTTTATTATATACTCCATATATTATAATGATAATAATTAAATAATAATACATACTTCGTATAATTAAGTTGAGATGTATTTGCCCACCCCACGTTGCTAAGATTCCCAAGGCTCAAACAACCGCCGCCGTCTTAAACAAAAACAAATGATACCAATGTCTTTATGCTAAAGTAACTTATATTCAACTTTTACTATTAGACATATTTTTGTAAAAAAATTGATTTCGGTAATATTTATGAAAAAACCTCATTTTATTATTAAATATATTTATAATAATAGTTTAGTTACAATTTAGAACTCTTTAAAATGCAAAGATGGACGGACAACATAAATTCTCAAAATAAACTCCTTCGAGTATTACTCTGTTACTCCCTCCGTGGCTCGTCCCATAAAATAGTTCTCATTAGGATTTGAATCGGAGTTTAAAAAAATGGGAATAAAGCGGAAATGTATGGTGTGTTTGAGTAAGAAAAAGGTAAATGAATGGTAGTCACATGTAACTTTCCAAATAGGAAAATGAGAACTATTTTTTGGGAGGACACATAAAGGAAACCGAGAACTATTTTGCGGGACGGATATAGTATAAAACTAAGACAAACATTTCGATTTGAAAAGAAATAGAATAGGTAGAATTGACATGTGATGGTTTTAAGGAGTATTTCAAATTAAAGATCAATTGCAATCAATTAACGAGGTTAATTTAATCATAATTTGTTAAAATTCAATAATTATTACGAATATACCAAAGATGCGACAATGCAAGTGTCCCACTCACATGCTTTGAAAGACAGGCTTTTGGCTTATCTAATTTGGTTTGGTGGTTTATTTTTCATTAATTTCAAGTAAATCGTGTTTAAATATTACAACGTCATTAATTTTCACGGGTCTTCCATTGAATCTTTCATAGTTTAATTTTCAATGTGATTTGTAATCATTTTGGATCTAAGAGTACAAATTAGTCGCATTACCTCTTAACATGTTCTTTTGAATTGACTTTTTTTACATGAATAGGTAAATAAATCACTCACTCTTCACGTCTTTTTCTGTTAGTTTTTCCCCTAAATATTACTCCATAGAATCAAATTTATAAATAAAAATGCGATTAAAATAGCTATTAATACTTTATTTTTCGTCTAATCACTTTTATCAATTAACTTTTTATCCAAACACGTACGCGTATTTTTTTATCTCATATTGAGTTGTGTTATAATCAAAATAAGTAATGTTGAAGTTATTTGTTTGCTTGGATTAACTTAAGTTACGGTAGATAACGTTTTAGTTATTTTTGTACAATTTTTTGTTTATTTCATTAAAAAAATTCTCCGTATATTTTATCAATTTTAGTCACTTTATTCGATTAATTTGAGTCTTCTCGTAAAATTTCAACACAGTGTAGTGACTATTGTTTTAATTTGATCTAAACATTGAGATAATCCAAAACAACAAAGTTGAAAAGACTAATTAGGTGAGCATTTGTGTTTGAAGAAGAAATGAGCGGAGAATCCGATAAAAGGGGGGAAAGGAAGAACCGAAGAACTGCCTTCAGCACTTGCTTCATTTCTCGGCTAACCCCTTTTTCTCGCTGAATTCAAATTGTTTTCACGCAAAATTTAGGAATCTCCCCCGCGCGCGCTCTTCTTCAACCATTTTCATGATCTCAACCTATATCAACCCTTAACCTCCCCCCGTGCGTGTTATTTTTAATCATCGGCGATCAATTCTCAGGTATGAACCTTCCAAGTCCTTGGTCCAGTGATCATCTGGATTTTGTTTATTCTTTTCATATGTATTTTTCAATTTAGTGGAAGTGAACCTGGATTGGAATGGTAGATGGATAGAGAGTCATGTGATTGGGTCCTGAAAGGCTGAAATAATAATTAAAAAAAAAATCCTCTTTTCTGGGCCTCGTGTCGTTGCTTACTTGCCTGGATTGTTTATTCATTTTCCATACTTTATCTTGACGTGTTTTCTCTGCTGTGTCATGTTGTTGCTTGGTAGGGTAAGGTTGCTTTATCTGAATTTTCGATTGCCAATTAATTAGGTATGTTTATCTAATATATATTATGTGGTTTAACCCAAGTAGTATGCTCTATGCGTATAAAAAAGGTTGAATCTCGTGGGAGTATAGTACACTTTGATTCTTTTTGGGTGTTCATTTTTTGCTTGCAGATCCAGTTTTGCTGGTGTGTTAGGTTGGCTTTAAATTCTGATTTAGTTAGCCTAGTTTTTATTTCTCTTTGTTTTATGTTGATTTCACACATTTGGTTCCAAATCCTAGGGTTCCTGATTGATTCTTGTTTGTATTGGTCGAGTTCATTGTAGCTTGGAGAAGATAAGCTATCTGATATACTCTTTGAGTCTCAATGCTTGCACTAATTTAATCATATACTTATATACTATTGATTTGCTATGGTTTAATATGTTCTGCAGTTTGTGATTGATATTGATTGATGTCAACCACTTTTCAGGGAAACTTGAACTTCATTCATCTATAAGCTGTTCTACCAAATAAAGGAAAATGATTTTTCTCTTGCTTCTGGATGATTGAAAATGATGGATTTGTCAATAAACATATAGTTTTCGAGTATAAAGACCTCTTCAACTTTATCTGGGATTTTATATTGTCTTAAGGTATTATTGTAAGATTTGTAACAACTCTGAATATCTGGACTTTCTTTTTTGCTAACCTTTTTAGGGAAAATAAAGGTGGGTTTCCAATATGCATCCTAGCTCCCATCCCATTATTTTAGTGCCTTTTTTGGTAATGATTATTTGGCTGAATCGGTGATTGAATCTGCTGAACTTATGACACAATAAGTGTTTGGTAACAATCATTTCAGCCAAATAACCTACCAGACAGAGCCTGACAATTCTTAAGAATTATAGTTCCTCTTTTATTTAGGCATTATAAATCCTAAGGTTGATCACATCATTGTGATTTTTCCTGACTTCTGATGTATCGCATCAATCAAAACACAACTTTCTTTATGTGCTAAAGCAAGAATCGTTGGTCATAATATATTGATATGCACAACTTTCTTTGAGAATCTGACTCTTCCCTTTAAACTCTATGAAACAATGCAATGACTGATCACACTATTTTGTTCTCTATAAACACTTCATACAGGAAAATGGCAAAGGGAACCAAAGAAGGGAGATGCAGGTCATCATCAAAGTTCAGGTCTACCCCATACCCCTTGTCGCCTTCTGTGGATCACCAACCAGATGACCTCAACCAAAACAAATGTTCCAAACACCATGAAAAGAAAGACTGGGAAGATGCGACATGCTCTGTATGCATGGAATATCCGCACAACGCTGTCCTTCTTCTCTGCTCCTCTTATGAAAAAGGCTGTCGTCCTTACATGTGTGGGACAAGTTTCCGCTACTCAAATTGCCTCAATCAGTACCAGAAAGCTCACAGAAATGTTGCATCCTCACACCATACCCCGCCAATTCATGATCTTTCCATTGATGAAAGCGAGACTGTGAATCTTGCTTGCCCACTTTGTCGTGGCCAAGTGAAAGGTTGGACTGTGGTTAAACATGCTCGAGAATTCTTGAATGCGAAGAAACGTGGATGTATGCATGGTGACTGCCCGTTTGTGGGGAACTATAAGGCAACAAGGAAACATGTTAGGGCAGACCACCCTGCTTCTAAACCTCGTGAGGTGGATCCGGTTCTTGAGGAGAAATGGAGACGGATCGAACGAGAACGGGAGATGGGTGATGTCATCAGCACGATAACTTCATCCATGCCAGGTGCGGTGGTGTTCGGTGATTATGTCATAGAACAAGGGAGTAGGTATGGTTTTGATTCGGAGGACGAGGATGATGAATTTGATGGAGATGGCGATGATATGGAGGAGGAAGAGAATGAGGACTTAGGGGTGGGAGTTGATGGGAATTTAATGAATGTCTTGCTTCTTTTGCAGGCTTTTGGTTCGTCTGGTAATGTTGGCCGAAACAGAGACTTAGGCCAACACAGCAGGGTGAGTAATGTTTTGGATGAAGGTAACGGTGATGACAGTATCATGAATGATACATCGTTAGTTGCTGCACATCTCCGCAACCAAAGTGGGTTTGTTTTGCGAGATAGTGGTAGATCCAGGCGTAGTAGGCAGCGGGGAGATAGAGGTCAATGATAGGTGTTGTGCTAATGATGGAGGTTTTAGTAAAGATGAAAAGATGATTCAGGTCTTCGGTATATTTGTTCTAGTCTGATAATGGGGTGCACATACACTGGCATTCAATCTGACATCCTAATCTGCTTGCCACTTGTGTTAATATTACATGGATTGTCTGGTTTGGTAGATTGGGGGCGGGCGAGAGTGGGACATGGTGGACACCTTCCAGAAAGTTGACTCTTTATTTGTAGTTTTAAAATTACTGTTAATTATCTCCTTGTCTTAATTCTCAACCGATACGTAATCGGTCAATGTAATTTACGCAAACTAATGTGCATGTCCTTGTATATTGTAAATACTGCCTTGATTATTCATTAATTGTAACATTTAACTTTTATGCTATTCATATTCTTTAGTGCGATTACATTGTATTTGTTAATGTAAAGAACAAGATAGTGTAAGAAAAGACTTGACAAAGGAAGTGAGCCATTTTTTGTGATAAATGAGTAATCACTAGGAAAATTATATTAAAGGAATTGGAGTGTGTCTGCATCCGAATCAGTGTAAAGTCTCATGCTGCAAATGTTTGCCAGCAGCCGCATGTGTCAAGCTTATGTATGTGTATACGCATGAAATGTAGGGGTGGGAATTATGATATTGGACTATTGGTCCGGATTTTTTCTTTTTGACCGGCCCAAATAAAAATAGCTCGGACGGAACCTGAAATTTCGGGTTCATTAACGGACCCTAAAATCTATAACCCGACCAGGACCGATAAAAACTCGAAACAATTAGCTTTAATATAAAATCAATATAATATACCAATATAGTTTGTAAATTAATTCCTAATATATGATTATAATCACGACGGACAAAAAAATGACTTAATAACTTTTAGTGACTACAAATATGTTCAATTTATTTACCGTAATGACCATGAAAACATATTTATAGTAAATTTAGTCACATTTTTATCCATAAATTTTATTTCATAATATTTTTAGAACACCTATATTATTTATTTTTATGCATCTTAAACAAAATATTATGATAATTGCCTTCTTTGGATTTGAATTCTTGGTGATTTTGGAGACTAATATTTGTGCTTTTTATTAATTTTATTTGCGGTTTGTACTTTTTATTAATTTTATTTGAAAATAGATTTTAAAATATAAAAGAAAAATGAGTGATTTCACATTCGGACTTTAACCCGCCCAACCCAAACCCGGACCGAACCCGGACTACAAAAAACACGACTCGGATCGAATATAGTGAGCTTTGTTTCGGTTCCTAATTTTCATAACCCGATACATTACGAGTAATTTCCGGATTTAGCAAAAACCCGACTCGGACCAGACCGATCCCACCCGAAATGTGAGTTTGACATGCCTTTTATTTTTAGAGTTAATCTTAGACTCTTTTACACCATCATGGTTCTTTTTGCTGGCTAAGACCATTTGGAGTGGTGCGGTATTAGGAGTCCAAAATGATAAAAGTGGAATTTTTGGACTTCTAAATCCTTGTTGTAGTTGGCTAAATGGGGGAGTAAAAATGGAGATGGGGATGGAGGAGGTATATATGAAGGGTGTGAAAGTAGAGAATCTAAAAAAGGGAAGGGGTGGGGACGGCACGCCGACACATGTGGTGCGCAGAGGGGAAAAAGGGGGAAAAGGCCTGGTGGCCATAGGACGTGCGCAAGAATTATTCGAATGGATGACATCATCATGTCGTCGTGCTGACGTTACTACTGCACCCAAATTAAAAAAAATTGGTAGATCCAACTGTTGTAATGATTTGGACACTGTTTGAATCGGGAAAAAATGATCCAACGGCTTAAATTGAAATCCAATGGTTAAAATAATTTATTTTATTTTTCCATTATTTTTAATTTTTAATTAATATTTTGTCCGAAAAACGTAAAAAAAAATTATTGATGAAATTTACTTATTTTTACATCGAAATGTGTCTTTTTTATTTTATAATTAATCAGAGAAAAAATTTAAAGAAAAACATTACTTATAATAATTTAATTAATGTTTTACTAAACTGATATGTAAAAAAATGTGCAGAGTGTATTTTATTGACATTACGAAGTCCATTTTTGACATTTGGACTCTCCCAAGTCCCACCACTCCAAATGGTCGAAGGCAAACAGAAAATGATTTACCCATCTCACATATGGATGGACTCGGGTCCGGGCCGGGTCCGAGTCGGGCCTAGGCCTGGGCGGGCCGGCGGGTCAGAAATGGTGGACCCGGGACCGGCCCGGGTAACCACCGGGTCTTGTCCGGGTCCGGGCCGGGCCGGGCCCATTATAATTTTTTTTTTGTTTTCCTCTTCTTAATTAACCCCCCTCTCACCCCAACCCCCAAATGGCCCAAAATACCCAGCCCAACCCAAAAATTTAAAAAAAATTGAAAAAAAAAATAGTTTTTGGCCCGAACCGGGCCCGGGCCCGGCCGGGTCAGGCCTTGTTTTGGGTGACCCGAGCCCGGACCAGAAAACCCACGGGCCGGGCCTACCCGGACCGGTCACTGACCGGGCCACCGGGTCGGGCCGGGCCGGAACAGTACCGGTCCCGGGCCGGTTCCGGGTCGAGCCACCCGGCCCGAGTCCATCCCTAATCTCACATGCTTTCATAGTTTCATCTGACATGGAACTCAATCCATAAAGAAAACCATGCCTCATTACTAAGTGTGCACATTGGTTGGATAGATGGTCCCCATTCCGGTTCCTATAATTAGGGGTGGACTCGGGCCGGGCCAACCGGCCCGGAACCGGACCGGCCCGGGAACCGGTTCGTTGGGCGGTTCGGGCCACCCGGCCCGGTGGATTCTCGGTTCGGGCTCGGGCCCTTCAAAAGGTGAACCGGCCCGGGCCAATTTTATTTTTTTTTTTGATTTTTTTTGAGTTTTTGGGTTGGGTTGGTTATTTTGGGCCATTTGAGGTGGTTAGGGTTGGTTTGGGGGTGAGGGGGAGGGGTGGGGGTTAACTAGGAAAAGCCCCCCAAAAAAAAAAAAAATACCCGAGGCCCGGCCCGGACCCGGGGTTTACCCGGGCCGGTTCCGGGCCTCCCCTTCTTGAACCGAGGCCCGGCCGGGCCCAGGCCCGAACCGGGCCCGAACCGGCCCGAGTCCACTCCTACCTATAATCACTAGTTCCAAATCCAGTCCAAACTGCGATTTAGATTGTATTTTCTTTCGTTTTGATTCTACAAATCGTCGGGTCTGATTCGGATTCAAACCATGATAATCTTGTCCACCCCTATTCATTACACATTAACAAAATTTTCCTAGAGATATTACCGTTAATGTGTTGATAAATTTATAGGGTCGCCTAAAATTTTGAAACCATAATGTAACTTGTAAATTCATATTTGTAGGCCATGTGCTTACCTCATTGCATAACGTTAAAACAGTGTAGTAAATTTCATTTAGTAAAGGAAGATACTATTAAATATTGCCAAATAAAATGTTCCATATCTCATATATCCAAAATTTAATGATCTGTGGCACAACACCTTTTTTGACAATATACACTGGCAACTTTATACTCATTCCCTCTTTCCACAACCACCACCTTCTGCTTCACCTTCAAGGTCATAAGTTTCAGTCCGTTTTTCTCTTCGCACAAGGATTCTGTTTCTTCTTCGTCACTGTTTTCTGCTTTCCCATCAAGTATGCATACCTTAGATCATGCAAAGTGTACAAATCATTGAACCAAAAGTGATCAAGAAAATTATGAGCAATATCTACAACCAAGGATGTATATTAATTGATTCAATCTTAATAGTTCAATTTACTAATTTCTATATATCTACTATATAAAGATTAAGAAATATGTAGTATAAATATATGTGAAAAACAAAAATGAAAAATAAATTTAATTGCATTTCCCCCCTCGTTATTTAAAATTATTTTGCTTAACGTTTCATCCCTTTCCCTAAACATCTCCCGTGTTCCAAACATAACCACTTAGCCAAAAAGTGAGTCAACAACCATAGAAAATTTTACCTCTGGGAGCTCTGAGAAGGTGCCCAAAGGAAGCAGTATGACACAGTAGTGCAAAACTGCAAATGCAAAAATGTCCCAGAATACAGTGATGATCCAGGCACTCTGCCACCTCTCATCGAAGGGATCTGCCGCTTTGAAGTAAACCTTCACCGACTAAAACTGAATGACCAGTTCTCCTCAAGATTAGTTCTTAAATGTTCAGATTTTGCACACTCAATCTTAATCTTCAATCCATGCCCAAATTTTAGGTGTAAAGTTGATGTAACAAGGAAACAAGACGGAGAAAGTAGATCATGTATTTGAGCTGACATGGATAGGAATCATAGGATATATAAAAATAAAAGCACGTGAATAGCAAACAAAGTTTCCAACATTCTTGATGAATTTTCAAACTGGTGGCAGAGATAAACGGCACAGAAGTTCCAAGCAGTAATAGTTCCTTCTGAAGTATGAAAAGCACAAATGCATAAGATCACTCGGTTTTATGCCATTGAAATGAAATTAACAAATGCAACAGATATTTCTCAAAATACACAAGCAAGAGCACAGCATTAAGCATTCATATGCAACTCAGGCTCTGTTTGTTTCTGGGAGGACTGGAAATAACTTGTTGCCACTTATTTTCAGAGGAAAAAGATTTTGAGGAAAACAAGTTGTTATATGCACTAATATATACTACGTGATACTTAAATCTTTTCATGTCATTTGGGACTAAGGCTTGGATGTTGTTGTTGTATTAAATCTTTTCATGAAAACATTTTAACACATGAAAATAAGAGAACATCTTCCTATTCTTTTATTTGCCTTGGACATGAAAAGAGGCATGATAGCAATAAAGTTTACAAATATTAACCGGTAAAAGTTCAGCACAATGCCAAACTTGCCTTGACAAAGTACATACCTCATACCCTATCCAAGCAATTGAAGCAACGACAGTAATTGGTAATGCATTTGAGAATTATCTATATAGGTCTAACTTCTCTTTGCCTGAAACTGTAAATTCATGTTCTCGACACTGATTTTCCAGTTACTTTGATTTCTTTAATACCTCCCTAGTAAAAAGTACAATTATAAAGTGATTTGAAGATCAAAATTTTGTGGCAATATGGGCCACTTTTCACATGCCAACGAAGTCACACGACACTCATCTATCCGTAAATAAAAAAGGATTCTGGCCAAATTTGTAAAATGTCAACAAGCTAAGCCTCATGGAAAATGTAAAAGATTATGGTTACAAAGTTTTCAAGATGCATGCATTGCTTAGTACACCGTATTAACATATGAATATTTGGTAATAAGTTCTAACCAAAATAGGCTGAGCTCATGAGTTGGACTCCATTTATGTTAAAATAATCCAAAATCTTCCAAATTAATGCATTTGGCAGCACTGTTTTAGTATATAAAACAACAACATACCATTCTGAGGAAGTAACTCAAGTAAGTAATTGCTT